GCTATTGATAATTGATATTAAGTATTAAAATAATAATTATATATTTTGATACCTGTCATGTAAAAAAAAAATTCATATATATCTCTAGGAGTTGTTTCTCAAATATTCGAATATATTTCAGGCATGCCCAAATATTGAGGCGAAATTTTGAATGCAATTTTCTTAGGGTTTGATGATGCATAACAGCAAGTGTTTAGCAGTAAATGCAAGAATCTTGATAATTCCTTCTTTTGGCTATGAGAAAAATGTGTGTCCTTTTAAATGACACAACTTATATCCTTTTACTCTCACAAAGAAGTGGGACCGACACCTTTATATTTTTTTGTTCACTCTCTCTCCTCTTTTATCTATCTCTTTCTCTCACTTAAAATGACACAACTTTACATCCTTCAAAATAATACACAGTTTTTCCTTTGGCTATTCCATAATGTGTGTGTACAATAGTCTAAGGAAATATCCGAATATAAATGAGCAACAATATCATGTGTTTTGTTAGAAAAGCTGATGCGGAGGGGTATCGTATATATATTAGACGGGACTGTGTTGGGTCTCGTATGCCTTTTTGACGGGACTGCATGTCTAGTAAGGCCAATTGGCGGGACTGCACTCGTCACTATTATCTACGCGTTCAACTGCCTAACAGTGGCAAAACATATCAAATAAATATGCTTTCACGTGGCAAATCTTTTAGCAAACGATGGTAGTATAGTGCTTTTGCCATAATATTAATGATGAGATTAGTGTTTCTCATATTTTAGGAGATAAAATTATTTTATTTTTTACATACATAAAAATATATGAGATTTTTTTTTTTTTATCTTTCTTCTCTTCATATGACTCTAAATGAGTTTCATACATTTTTATGTGTATATAAAAAATAAAATTATTTCCGATAATATAACAAACATTAATTGATAACCGGATATTGTTACGGGTGATACGTGATAAATATGATTTTGTTATGGGTGAAATTTTGTTCATTGACATACGTCATGTTCTATATGGGACCACAAAACAAACTAGAAAAAAAATAGAAAAAGACGAAAAATAATTAGAAGAAAAGAAGTTAGTTCTAGACTTTGATGAAGATTAAATAATACTGCTGTATATGAGAATTGTTAGAGAAATATATCGTTAATGTACATACTTTCACTTCCTCTCACACTTTCAATTTGAATGCCATTTCTAGAGTCTATGAATACGAAGGAGAGATTTTTCAATACAACCATTTCCCTGGTTGAATTTCTTGATATCTTATGCATGTCCATTTGATCTATCTTGATTTTCATCTGCTACAATTTTCTTCCAGAACCAGTGCTGCTCAAATAGAAGATAAATCTCCTCAATGGGAACTTGCTTTGTTTCCGGCAAGAGAAAGAAGACAAAGCAGCTCATGACGACAATCAAGCCCCCAAACAGCAAGAAGATTCCATATTTAAGGTGGCAAAGTGATACGAGGAAGAATTGTGCCACAATTGCAGTGAAGATCATGTTAACACACACCACAACACTCTGCGCAGCTGACCTTATCTCTAATGGGAATAGCTCACTTGGAACCAACCACCCCAGAGGACCCCAAGATCTTCCATATGCTAAGACAAATAAGAAAATCACCACAACAAGGAAGATACTAACACCAAATGACAGCTCTTTCCCTTTACCAAACTCAAGAGCCAAAACAACTGCTGTAGCAACCTGCACATCAAAATGGTCTAATTAGCAATGCAAAAGCGGCAATAGATATTCTTTCCATTGCATTTGTGCAATGAAATTTTAAGGACAAGAGCTAGTGTGAAAGAGTAGTTACCATGCAGCAGAACATTTCAGCACCAGCTTCCAAAAAGAAAGCTCTCCTTCCAAACTTGTCAACATAAAACATTGAGATCAACGTGGCAAGAACAAGTGCTACACTAGTAATAACAGATGAATATAGCGAAGCCCCAGAGCCAAAGCCCAAAGTTTGGAAAATAACGGGTGCATAGAAGAGGATGGAGTTATTGCCAGTAAGCTGTTGGAATGCAGGGATAGCCAAGGCACCAATTATAAATTGAGGCCTGTTCTTTTTAAGTAGGAGGTTCTGAAATGGGTTCTTGATGGCCTGTGCTTCTCTGCTGGCTTCAATAAGATCTTCAAATTCAGCATCAACATTAGGGGTACCCCTAACTCTCTCCAATACCTTTCTTCCCTCATCCATTTTGCCTTGTTCTACAAGACTGTTAGGTGTCTCGGGACACAACAAACCACCAATGAACATAACAGTTGCCGGGACAGTAGCTAAACCAAGAGATAATCTCCATCCCCATGGATGAATTTTCTCAGTAGCATAATTTACAAGGTTAGCAATCAAAATTCCCAAGCAAGTTGTTAATTGAAATAGTTGGTTCACTGCTCCTCGGACTTTTGCAGGAGCCATTTCTGATAGATACAATGGAACGGCCTAAACAATAATGAGAAATATACATAATTAGTGGTGAGTGCAGCTTTTTTATGACAAAACACATCATTTATCATTTTGGGAAGGACTGAACTTACTTGGTTACCAAATCCAATGCCCACACCAAGAAGGATACGACCAATTAGCAACATTGCAATGTTCTTGGCTGCAGCATTCAGGACAGCTCCTATGAAAAAGCTTATGGAACCAACAATAATACTGGCTCTCCTGCCTTTATTTTTTGTTACGCTGGAAGCACCAAAGGTGGACACCAGAGCCGCAAAGTACAAAGACGAAGTAAAGAGTGTTAACATTTGATCATCATATTTACAATAATCTGTCTCCTGCAAATGTGCATGCTTCCTCTCATACACTTGGGGGAAGAATTCTATCAGGAAATCATCCATGGAAGTAACTCCACCTGAAATAAGAATTCATTAATTTTCTAATGATATTTTCCAGTGTGTGAATGCAACCAGCATTATTAAACTCTAAAAAGTTGCAATGTTTTTTTTTCTCCTTCACATACTTTGATCTTTTGTTTGACAATGTGAGGGCATTAACAATTGAAATGATATCAATATAAAGAACCTCACCTGAAACACCAAGATCATATCCGAAGAGAGAGCCACCAAGAGCTCCAACAATGCAAGAAAAGATGAAGTACCCAGTAATCTTGTACTCATAAAGATGAGCCCTTTTGAGAGACCCAGCATTCACAATTCCACCACCAGCCATTATTTATTTATTTTAAAAACTGTGTTATATACCTTTCTCACTTTCCCTTGATGTCTCAGCCAACAGTGCTAGAGACAAAAACAATAACAATGTTGATAGAAACCCATTTCGTGGGGGTTTATATAGACTCAATTTAACAATGGCATGGCACTTAGAACACCTTATCTATAATCCAGTTTGAACCATATAACACCTTAAAATAGTATTGGACAAAAAGAGATAGAATAAGCAAACGAATGTTTATTAATTTAGCTTAAAAAGTGTTAATTTCGGTTCATATCCCTATTTGATAGGAAAAAGGTAAGAACGGTTGTCGTGGCAGATATGCACAGAATAGAGAGCAGTTTAATTAATTTCAACAAATAAAAATAATATTTACCGAATTCAACCATTAAATGCAGCTTGTCAACAACGATTAACGTATTAGGCTATTAGCATAAAAGAAAAAAGAAAACAAAAATTTAATATGTTTCGAATAGTAAATTTCATTGAATCAAAAATTAAAACTATACAGCTCATACACTTGATTTATATATAGGCTGAACAACGAATAATGATAATGCGTAACTTGAGTATGAAAAAAAAATTAATTTTTTTTCAATCTTTAGATTTTGCCTGAAACTATTTTTGGAAAAAAAAATACATCTCAAATTTTCACTTAATTTAAATTAATTTGAGATTAACTCAATTTCTGAAATTTAAATTGATGATGAAGTCCTTAACCTTTGCTAAACCCCAATTCCTTACTAAGTTAACGTTATATTCTAATTCCTTAACTAAATATTTATTGACATATGCATTAAGATCAAAAGCAGTAAAGAAGGATCACATGCACAAGATGTCAGGATCTATTCGTAGATTCATGTTAATTACTCAATTGCCCAATCAGCTACTTAACCATCAATTTATTTCATGGGTGATCTAAAAAACAATCAAATATAGAAAATAGAGAATTAAAATAATCGGATCCATTAACCATTAAGATAAAGTGAAGATCAATCATCTCCCAAGGAGATTTAACAATACGTAGAACAAAATACAAAGCAAGAGATTGAGATAAGAAGGAATTCCATTAGCTGAGATTAAGAAAGAGGTTTATCACTGCTCCCACAAGAAATCCCCTCTTTGGCCTAAATAATTGGGGTGTGAGATTGATCAACCTAAATAAACAAGAAGAAAAGATTAAAGAGAAAAGAAATTCCAAGAAGAGGGTCGGCAAAGAAGGAAAATATTAACAAACATATCGTTGACAGCGATTCGTGATGTTTCTCTTACTCGTACGGCAAACCAAGTTGGCAGGAATAAAGAACACAGAAATGTTTACTAGGACGACGCAAGCGGAAATGATAACATTAATGATAACATTAATTGACATGCGTCATTTTCTGTATAAGAGTTAGATGTAAAGGAGTTAGTGCTAGATTTTGATGATGATTAAATAGCTCTGGAAGCTGTCTAGCTAGATTCTCAGGCACAGGCTTGCATTTCCTTCTACGACATGAGAATTTAATCTGGTTTGCAGTAAGTGCGAATTTGTCTGGCCATTGAGGACAATTGCAGTTAGATCAGCAGGGTCCTTAATTCCCTTTGAAAACTGGAGGAGTCAGTAATGGGCAACTAGGAATTAGAAAATGAAAAATTCAGTTGAAACTAGACATGTGATGACTGAAGAAGCCTATGAACATCAAACCTATATGTTAGAAGGAAACAAGGTAAACCGGAGTGTGCACAATGTTACTTCTAGGGAGTACCTTGCACCTTCAGATAGCATTCAATACTAATAAGAAAAAAACATTGCATGTCAAACCACAAACATCAATCAGGATCATTTATTCTTTCGATTCATTGTAAGGGGGGAAACTTTGCAACCACAATTGATGGCATAAAATAAAATGTTTAATCACTATTTGAGGGAACAAGTTATTCAGGCTATTATTGCATACAACTGCAATGTTGATTGCAGCTATACAACTAATAAAAGGGAAGCCTGACAACATGAATACCGGAAAGAAATGAGAGGAATCTCATTGATTTATATAAAATTAAAGCCCGACTTAATAGATTCTCTCAACGAGAACTACAAGTAAAATTGAACTTGGATATTATAATAATCTAGCTGTGAGCAGAGGCTGCAGGATTGCCATTTGCTACTGTCCCCAAAACTGCACCGCCCTCTTGACCGGCTTGGGCTTGATCTTCATTTGCGTGCTGAACAAACTCCTCAGGAGTCATGTGAGAACCATGACATGCACAAACAATCCTGACTTGATTATTGCTGTATCTGTAAGTAACACCAGATATTGTCCTACCATTTGAGGCTGAACCTGTGGCGGATACCCAAGGTAGATTTGGGCAGGAACCACCCCCGCCAAATTTCACATCTGCTCCAAGACCTGGCTTAATAACGGAAAAATCAATTGAGGAACCTTCTCCTGTTGCTTGGTCTGATACATCTTTTGCTCTGAGATTTGTGCTGCTTCCTTTCACAACTTCAGGCTGTGAAGAGGAGCCTTCTTCAGTAACACGCTGTTTTGCATTTCCTTTGGATTTTTCTAATGGTCTTCCTTCATATGGCGTAGCCTCATATATATTGTTCGAGATTACAGGTATGGCAGCTATATCCACATAAAACAGTATAATGTCATTTACAATCAGATTTCCAATAAGATCTCAGAATGGTGCTGGCACCAAAATATACTTAGAGCTACTTGTAGTTATTACAAGTATATATTAAACTGTTGCACGAACAGACAGACAAATGGAGATGTGATAAACTTTTTTGATCTAAATGGGCTCCAAGTCTTATTTAACATTCCAGTTTTCTACTAGTTTTTTAGAATATTTATATTTAGTTTATCAAATTCATGGTTACGACGTGTGTGTATGCATAATCCAAAACATAAGGCATAATAAACATACCCCTAATTCATGTAATCTTGGAATTTCAGTTAAGAAGATTATTAACAATATATTACATCCATATCATGATTACCTGTGTTTGATGGACCCCTCCCAGCAAAGGAAGGGTGTAGCTGTTGAGAATGAGAAATCAAACCATCCAAAATTGGAAGCTGAGCAGAAGGATAGCCACACATCGCTGGCAAGCTCGCATTACTCACAGGTTGGGCTCCAGAGCTGTCACTAGTTGCATTAGGCATCATATGCATCACTCCAGATATCGGAGGGCTTGGTGCATGAACAGAGTTGGACTCTTTCACTAGGGATGGGTAAGGCGCATTCATCATATTTACTGGTTGGACGGAGAAGGAAGCACCGTAAGTCAAATTTGCATGCTTAAAATCTTTTTCTGATGAGCCCATAAACCTTTTCTCCCCATTAAAGTCAGTAGCACTCAAATCAGCAACTCCACGTACATCTTTTGGAGCATCAGAAGAAACACCAATTCTAATGAATTGTTTGGAACCACCAACCAGGTGTGAGATGGGCCTAGAGGTGGAGTTGTCAGCTTCAGAATCTGCGACATCTTCTTTTTCAGCAGCTGAGCCATCTTCTGTCATAGAAGTATGTGATGTTCTTGCCTTGTCATGTAAGTCAGCATGATGAACATCACTTCCATGCCTCTTTTGATGATTTATCTCATCAAAAGACATTTTTCGTTTACTTCCCATCTCTAAATGTTTATCTTCCCCAATTTGAACAGGTCTGTTACTATTTGCAACCCAAAATCCTCTCCCATTTAAATTCAGAGATGCATTCTCTCCTTTGGCCTTTGAAAGGTCACTAAAGAAGTTCTCCTCAGGTTTCGAGGAATCAGTTGTTTGTGCTCCAACTGAATCCGGTTTCTGAAAACCAGCATCAAATATGCTCTTGAATTCATCAACCAATTTGCCACTTCTACCAACCTCTTCTGCCCTAGTATCTGACGAGCTACCATTCTTACTCTTAGGTTTGACAGAGGAGCCACCACAAGATAGACCCAAACTGAGCTCAAGCCCATCCTCGTCCTCCATATTGTAATATCTAGGCCAATAAAAACAGGTCAGGCATAATAATTTCTTCCCAGCTTGATTATCATCTGTCTTATTATGCCAGTCACCCTGTTACAATGAGCAACCGTCCTCAAATAGCTGCATTCAGTTTGAAGGCAAATAAGGAGTACCATATCTATTGCATCATCACAGGCTCACATAATGAAGATAACTACATAATCACCACTTTCATTTGTGCTAATGAACACAAAAGCACAGAAGTAATTCCTATGTCCATAGCACAGGTGAGATTTCAGTAATACAAAAATTTCATGGTTTTAACTAGCAGAGCACACGCCCCTCCGATGACTGCTTTGCAATTCTTCACAGTCAAAATCTACCAAATCAAAATACCAAACAGAACATAACTTTGAAACCAACTACAGATCTAGGAAGCACGAATATGACACAAAAACACTAACACAAAGAGATGACAAACACGAAAAAATTATAAGACATGATACGGTCAGAGTACAACAGTTAAAATTAATATAAGATTACCATAAAAACACAAATCTTAAAGATATAAACACAAATCCTAACACAGGCACATGTGTTTAAAATATAAGCATTAATAAATAGTCATTCATAGTACAAATCTTAAAAACAAAACTAAACAGGGAAATTAATAATTGAAATGTATCTGCTTCCTTACTACAGATTATAAGATCAATTAAAACCAAAATAAACTCACAAAACCCAAATATTCAGTCAAATTTAGAAGAAGCAAGGAGGGGTGAATCGGGTAAAGAACTCACCTCACTTCAGGTCCAAATATTCGAGCAATCCCTCACTGAAATGATGCTTGAATGAATGGAAGGTCAAAGCAGAAAGGCAATTGAGCTGATGAGCAAGCTCAACTATTTTCTCATCAATTTGAAAACTTGGCTTTCCTAATTCATGGATCGAAAGTTGAGGTAAAATGGGTGGGGCTCCGATCAGAGTTTCCACGTTTGCTCAGTTCGGTGCAAGTTTGGGGAAGAATAGTGAAAGAAAGCGAAACTGAGGGGAAAAAGAAAGAAAGAAAGAAACGATTCAAAGATGAAGATAAAAAGTGTGAGCAAAAGCAGATAGCTTGAATCTTAGAAGAGCAATACACTAATTGGAAAAGAGGTGAAGATAATCAAACCCTAGGTCGTCATGCCCTCTTTGGATTGGAGTGATTGAGAAGCGAAAGAGAACACAGACACAGGAATTTAGGGAAAGAAAATAGAAAAATATTTGCTGAACTCAAACAACTAATAATTCTTTCTATCTATAAAAATAGGAAAAAGTGTTTCTATTTTAAAGCACACAAACTTATGTTATTTGGCTCTCATAAATAGGTAAGATTTATGTCTTTATATTTTTTTATCCACTCTCTTATTTTTTATAATAAATTTTATCTATCTTTTTTGATTTATTTAAAATGACACAGTTTTATATCTTTAAAATAATACACACTTGTTTCATAAAAATAATGTCAAATTTGCGCATGTGATTCTCGTGTTAACATCCAGCCTCCATTATTTCGATTTTAATAAAATGGATTTTTTTTATTTTGATTTGTATAGTATAATCGTTTGTAATATTTTTGCCAACTTTTGTCTTATATCCATTCAATTTTTAATTTTTTATGTTTAATTGATTATAATTATTAAACTTGACTTTCAATAAATAGAAAAAATTAATGCAAACTTAGTGTCCAATAGCTGCTTATTATATAATTTTGATTTAGCTGTTAACTTGTTTAAACTATAATATCTGATAAATATTTTTTTGCAATTTTAAATTATTCATGTGATTAAATGTTGAATTTAATGTTATTCATGTGATTAAGAGTTAAATTAGTCAATATGCAAATAATGCAAACCGTCTAGTAAAAAAGAAAGCTTAGACCCAACAACTGGAAATAATACAAAATGGATTATTAAGCCTTAGGATTAAAACTGTTACATCAAGTCCAAATTAACAGTTAAAAGGAATAAACAAATTGAGCCTCATAAATGAGAAAGGATTCCAAGCCAACGCAAACAAATTGAATAATGTAATCCAGCTATTTGGGGAAATTACCTCTCACTCCTTTTACCAAATCAGCTCTGGGTTCTTTTATTTTTTTCTTTTTCTTTTTGGATAAGATATTGTAGCAATCAATTAGTATTATTACTAATGTTACTACCAATCAATTTCATCATTAGATCTATTATTTGATCCAACGGTTATATTTATTTCTATCTTGTATGGTTATGATTCCCCATATTTAATGTGAAAACATTAAATAGAAAAAATCATAATCATACAAAGGTGAAAATAAATATAAAATATTAAATATGAGAATCATAACCATATAAAGTTAGAAATAAATATAACCATTAAATCAACATAATCGATCTAACGATAAAATTGATTGAAAATAATATTGATAGTAATACTAATTAATTGTTACAATATTTTTTCCCTTTTTTTTTTTGCAAAATAGTGCCGCCAGAAGACAAATAAGAACACAGACACATAGGCTCTGTTTGATAACCGTTTTTAAAAATAATTTTTTAGTTTTCAGAAAGAAAAAAATAAAAATCCATTTGGTAAGACTTATTTTGTAAAAAAATTTAAAAAATATAACTTTTTTTTTTAGAATCAATTTTAGAGAATATGTTTGGGTTGTTTTTATTTTTTATTTTTGATTTTTAATTTTCAAAACAAAAAGAATATAGAAAACACTTTTTTATAATTATTCTACAAAATAATTGCAAAAATAAAAAAGTAAGAACGCAATCAAACAAACCGATAATTTTTTATTTATTTATTTTTTGTGTTGTGTGTGTGTGTGGGGGGGGGGGGGGGGGACAAAAAAAAAATGCTAAACTCAAACAATTGATTAAAAAAAGTTCAATTTTGCTCATGTGATTGTCGTATTAATGTTTAGCCTCCATTATTTCGTTTTAATAAACTGGACTTTTTTAGTTTGTATTTTTGTGAATTTTACTCTCATATAAATTCAATTTCTGTTTTAATTGTTTATATTGATTATTAAATATGACTTAGTCAATATTTTGTATAGAAGAAGTTAATGTAAACTTATTGTCAAATAGTTGAAGTAAAAAATAAAACATGTCAATTAGCAGCTTATTAATAATTTTTATTTTAGCCGTTAACTTGTTTAAATTATAACATGTGATAACTTTTTTTGCAACTTTAAATTATTCATGCAATTAAATGTTACATTTAATAAATATCAATTAGATTAAAATTTGCAGAAAATTAATTCTTAAAATTAAAATCACAAAAATTATTTATCAAAAAGGTGCTGAGGGTACCATAATGGTCAGCAATTTTTCCTTTCTTTGTATCTCATCTATCACGTTAATTACTTCTTCTTTTTCATCTCTCCAGTTAGTTTTTTTTTTTTTTCGGGCATAGAATATATTCATTTTTTTTATGACAGATACAATCATTTCGCAGTTAATAAGTTATATATAATTTGTCAAAAAAAAAAACCGTAACACACTTGTAAAAAAACTTAATTTTCAATATACTAAATACTATGATTTTTATTAAATATTTCTTATCTTTTGATTCCTTAACAACATTTTTAAGACATTATTTAACTGGATCAAAAATGAAAATTGATCTGGATCTATCTCAAGTGGGATTGAAAGCCCAAGGGGTCCAATGACTACGACTACGACTTCCAAATTAAGGAAACATGGTCATCCCTTGTATATTGATAAACCCGCAGATTAACTGACACACAACCTTAGCAGTTCAATTCATTATGGTTGCACAACATTAGCAACTCAAAGCTCTACAATCTCCCATATAGCCAATGGCTAAGGGACATGCATATGCTTCCAATAGGGTGTAACTTATCAATAGACATCTCGCACACGGAATCACATGCAAGAGCCACATCTAGCCACCAATAAGATTGACTGACTTGATACTAAGATGACATAAACAGCAAGTTCAAGTATTATATAAATAGAGACAAAGTATCATTATCTCTCCATCATCTTGACTAATAGATATCACCGGATATTAATTTCAGTGTCGGAGTACCTTATACATAGCGGTGTAAATGGGCCAGCTGACCTGGCCTAGCCTACAGCCCGACTTACGTTGAGTCTGGCCTAATCCAGCCTACGTCGAAAAATAGAGTAGGCTTAAGTTTATAAAAAAGTTTTTTTAACAAATAAGTCGTAGATCAATTTTGTCAAGCCTAGCCTAAAACCTTGTTGGCTGGCCTATTTAATTTTTAAAAATAAAATAAAATATTTATTTTAGGTGGCAATTAATACCAACCCTTGTCTTGATGGTGGTTTAAAGATATTTCAATAAATGATATTCTTTTGTAGACTTTTTTTCAGCTTTGGTTGACCTAGTAATTGTATTTTTTTATTTTTCTCATTTTTTTTTACTCTATTTCTCTCTGATATACGTTATAGAGTTAGGGTATTATGTTGACTATTTATTGTTTGTCATTATTTATTTCTTATTAGAAGTACTAGTACATACATGAATGGAACTTTGCTCAATATATTTTTTTAGTTATTTTTTTTACTATTGTAAAATTTTTAATGCTCACTAGTGAAATTTATATCTCGTGTAAAAAAATGCAACAATTTATGAACACGTTAATGACTTGTAATGTCAAGCGAATATTTTAAAAATTGTTAAAAAAAAATTAAAATTTGTTAAAAATATATCACGAAGAAGGCCTATAGGCCATATCAGATTCTCTAATTTTTAAAAATAGGCCAGACTTGGCCTATAAATAAAGCCTTTAGTAGGCCAGTAGGCCAGATAGACTGAATATTTTTTTACATAGACTTAGGTTAAGAAGACCAAAGTTCAGCCCAGCCCAGTCCATTTATACCGCTGTTATAAATACCTCCCTCGATTTTTCCATCTAACACAGTGATCCAGCCTGAAACACAACATTTTGCAAGACATACAGCATAATTATCAAGCATCCCGTGGAAGCTCCATCATGCAAAACCAACTTTAACCAGACCCATATCACAAAAAATCAGGCTTAATCGTGCATGATCCAGTTTAATAGCTATTGGACTGATAAAAAATATATTGTAATTATGAGGTAATTATTATGGTTTGTTTAGACAATTTAAAACTCCTTTGTAAGAAACATTTTTTATTTTTTTGTTAAAAATATATCATTTAATATTCTTATTAAAAATATCAAAATATTCTATTTAAGCACAAACTAAAATTAATGATTCAATAATAGTGAAGTAATATGCAATATGTGAGTCACAATTATACGTTTTTCAATTTTAATATAGATGGTTTTGTATTTAATTAGATTAAAAAGGTAAATTATTTATTATACATGTAAGGGAATCCGAATAGCATTGAACACAAATAAAAAGAGAAAGAAAAAGAAAAAGAAAGCTAGACCAAACAATTGGAAGATGGAAATTCTATAAAATGGATTATTAAGCCTTAGGCTTAAAAATGCTCCATCCAAACTCCAAATTAACAGTGAAAAGAAATAGACAAATAACGTTAAAAAAGAAAAAAGAAAAAAAGAGAAGATTCTACAGCAAGGCACACAAATGGAATAATGTTATCTCATCGAGGTATTTGGGAAGTTACCTCTCACTCACTCACTCACTCATTTCGGTTCACTGCTACCTCGGTGTTGTGTTGTGTTGAGTTGTTATTATTCTATTCTATTCTATTCTTTTCCTCCACCCTCATCCATTCTGCTCGCTACGCTATTTTTGTTCTTTTCTGAAATATAGCGGCAGAAGACGAACCAAGTGAAGAAACATGGTGAGAGTTATTCCCATGGCTTCTTCCATTCGACCCACTCTCTCCTCCTTTAGGTTTTCACCTCGTTCCTCTCTTTCTCTCTTCAACCCTTCTCCCCGACTCTCTTTCTTCCATCTTCCACCTGGTAAGTTCTTCTTCTTCTTCTGTTGGTTTCCCCCACTCTTTTGCTCTAAATTCTTAATGTTGCTTTCAACGCATTGCACATGCTCCTAATTCACTCTCACCATATAAGCTGTAATTTCATACCTATTTATCAATTTGTTTTGTTTTTTGTTTTTCTTTTTAAACATTGGTTAGATAGATAAGCTGAAATTTCATACACTCGGTATTTTCAAAAATTAAAAATGTTTTTTTTTTTTTAAATATTTAATACAGTAAAACTTGATTAGATTGTATTTAACAAAGAGTTTTTGTCTTGTTTCTTCAATTTTCATCCAGCATACTTGATATCGTCTTCAATTTTTATATATTTGCTATTTTTTTTTCATGTATCTTTGACCTAAATTTCTGAATAGTTATGGGGTTGGTTCAATGCAAATAATAAATATGCGTTGATGATGAAGAGGTGGCAATGCTGATGATTGAATAATACTATATAATTTCATGAACTGAAGTTGTTTTGGGTTCTTATCCAGCAGTCCCACAATCCCATAGTTTTGGCCTGAAAGCATCTAGGCTGTTCAGACAGGATGGTAACTCCATAAGAGTGATGGCATCCCAGGCAAGCACGGCTGCTTCACAAGAAAATGTACTAGAGTGGGTCAAACAGGACAAGCGAAGAATGCTACATGTTGTTTATCGTGTTGGGGACTTGGACAGGACCATAAAGTATATCCAAATTAAATTGATTACAAACTAATTATCTCTAATATATTCATCTCTTGAACCAACTTTGTGGAGTGCATATTTACTCTTTGTGATTTCAGATTTTATACAGAGTGCCTGGGAATGAAGCTCCTCAGAAAGCGTGACATACCAGAGGAGAGATACACTAACGCCTTTCTTGGATATGGGCCCGAAGACTCCCACTTTGTTGTTGAACTAACATACAGTAAGGATCTGACTATGTTATTGACATTCCTCTTAAAATGTGCAAAACCAAATCTTCTGAACAACCTTTCCCCATAATTATAGAATTTTGCACTTTATGAAGTAAGTACTAAGTTATAGTGCTTGTGCAAAGAAATCTTTCAATCAATATTCATTTTTCATTTAACAACATTTCAGATTATGGAGTTGACAAGTATGATATTGGAACTGGATTTGGCCATTTTGGTATTGCTGTTGATGATGTAAGTCTTCCAAACTTTTGTACGAAGTACTATCTTTTATTATCATCTTTGTCCTCCGTGTTCATTCCTGGTGAGTGGGTTGCCTTTATTCTCAAATCTCAATCTCATGTGTCTAATCCAATTGCATCTTCTTTATTCTCTTGGGATGGGGCGTGAGTAGAGGTGCAGTTTTGGTTATTATTTAGCATTTCCTCTCCATTGGCCTTTTGACAAACATATATGATGGAATTGCTTTGTCTATATGATCCTTTATCAGATTACGAAAACAGTGGAACTAATAAGAGCTAAAGGTGGCAAAATAACTAGAGAGCCTGGTCCTGTCAAGGGAGGTCGCACAGTAATTGCTTTTATTGAAGATCCTGATGGTTACAAATTTGAACTTTTGGAAAGAGGTCCCACTCCTGAGCCTTTGTGCCAAGTAATGCTTCGAGTGGGTGATCTTAATCGTTCTATAGAATTTTATGAAAAGGTGACGGTCAAATGCTATTTGATGTTGGTTCAGACTTCAAAGTCTTTTTATTTTCTTTACACACCATTAAGACATTTATGTGGTTGCTGACCATTTAGGCTTTTGGTATGGAGCTGCTGCGTACACGAGATAATCCAGAGTATAAGGTATGGCGGCATCCTTATGCCTATACTTTCTGTTTCTGATACCAATTCATCTGTGTGGAAAAATTAAGATTGAGGATGGGAGATGGGATCCCTTTCTAATCAATCTTCTAAGATGTGATGATCCTTTCTTTGGGGCTGTACTGCAAATGTAGCACTGTTTAGTGTGGTTACTATGCATTTTGGATGTCTTGTTATTATTGAATAACTACTATTTCAGGTTTGATTGTCACAAAATATGCTGTTTTAGCTTCTCGCCTATTGATTGGTTGTATACCAAAATGATTTAAGTTTAGCATTATGCTTGTTTTGAATGGAAGACTATTCTGAGTCTCTGTTTTACCGAATGCCAATTTCATCGTTGTATCTAACTGTCTGAAATCTTCTGAGGGTGCAACAATCAAGGTGATATAAATAATATAATTAGATTAACAGCTGGTAACTGGGCAAATTGACACTGTATATGGCCATAAGGTTTTGTTGCACCTGAGTCTAATGCAATCCATCTGTAGTTGGATTTGGATGCTTTTACATGACGTTGCAGCTTGCCTATGTACCCTACTGTTCTTAATATTACCTGTGAATAGGATGGCTTGATCTGCAAACAAATTTGCCTGAGTTCATGAGTATCTAGAAAGCCCCAGGCATAAGTTGGCCAAACAACTAACAGAATAAATGCCTTACATTGATAATTTTTTGCTATCCAATATCATTATGAAAATGTGGCCCTGTTGAAGTCCTTTCAGTTTATTCACTTGTGGATAATTATGTGCAAATCTTCTGCAATTGCAACTGCTTTCTGCTCATATGTTCTTCTGATTTATGCTTGTATTGAAATATTTGTACACTGGACGTCTTTACAATTCTTAGGTTCCATCTTTCTTGCAATGATGACCCAAAAATTGTTTCCCAACACCTTATGTGATACTTTGGGCATGTGCTTGCCTTCGTTTGTGATCCTTTGATGGCCTTTTTTGAGCAGTATACCATAGCAATGCTGGGTTATGGTCCAGAAGATAAAAGTACTGTTCTGGAGTTGACTTACAATTATGGAGTTACTGAATATGATAAAGGAAATGCTTATGCTCAGGTAAGAAGAAGTTCCTCTGCTGCAGTTATGATATCAGATTTGTTTTCTGCATTAACAGAAACTGGAGTTTACTTTTCATTTTTATTTTTTAAAATTGAAATGCTTGTTACCCTGTATTTCTGTATTCACAGTTTCTTACCTCTAATTTGAAGACAGTTTCTTTTATTAATTCTCTTTTCTTTTTCCCTCTCTACAGATTGCAATAGGCACAGATGATGTATACAAAACTGCAGAAGCTATTAAACTATCTGGAGGAAAGATTACTCGGGAACCTGGACCATTACCTGGTATCAACACAAAAATTACAGCATGCTTGGATCCTGATGGTTGGAAGTCGGTATGTCTCTTTGAACTTTATGATTTAATGTGTCAAAGACCAACTCTCCCAAAAATTTAAGTTGAAAACTGAAGACTCATGAATGATTTTATATTTAACACACACTGCATGCAAGAGTTCATTGAGCTTTAAGCGTGGATAATACACAACTCATTTTACCTCGTACTGAAATTCAACTTTTACATAAAAGAATGAAGATAACAAGGATCAAACTCATGACTACTTGGTTGTTTAACCTTTGATACCATATTAAAAACCAACTCTCCTAAAAGTTTAAGCTATTTGATGAAAGCACATGACTAGTTCTTATATCTCTAAACACATGCCCTTGACCTTCACACAATAGGGTCATTTTTACCTTGTACTAAAATTTAACTTTATTTAAAAAAATAGGGTGGCAAAGATCAAATTCTAAAGTCTAAACTATTTGGTTATAAAGGCTTTGATACTATTACATATAAAATCATTCACACCTAACAAGGAAATCTCATAAATGTCTTTATATCTAAGATATTTCCCAAAAGATTAGTGTGTTCTTTCAGCATTTTCACATGGAAATCTTGTTATGGTACCATATAATGGTATTCAAAGTTGTAATACTTTGAGATGGGAGAGAATATCACGTTATCAATATTGGTCTTTTGACATAAAACTACTTGATTTCTCCCATCCTTTTTCGAGGTTTGTATGGTGATTGTTACAACCACTCTGCGTGTTAGCTTAGTCAAAATTCATCCAGTATGTTCAGTGTCATCTAAATTTTCGCCAGTGATCATTACCTTTAGCTTGTGTTGTACTTTGCATTCAATACATCACAAAGGATGGTAGGTTGATCTTCTGTCTGCTTTGCTGTGTGGAGTCTATCTTACGTAAGAACGCACCTTAAGAATATTGACTGGGTTTTTCTATTTGGAACAATATATAAACAAGCCTAAATAGGTTGATATATGGTAAAAAAGTTAAGGCTTCAACTGTAGAGTGGAAGCAAGCGTGCATTTTTCATCGTGTTTATTTCTCATCTGGTTCTTTCGTTTGTCTGTTCGAGATCTAGCATCTTTATGTTGTTTAGTCATTTCTAGTAATCAAGTATTTGTGACTCACTAGTTTTTCCCACCTCCAATGTGCAGGTTTTTGTAGATAATGTTGATTTTCTGAAGGAGTTGGAGTAGAGTATTCTGGTAGTTCATCATAGCAATCTTGTGAGATTGGTATCAAATCTGTGTCGAAGAATTGGTAATCTATGTTGAAATTTGTTTGCTTCAGAGAATGTATCATATTCAATGCGATTTTGTAGATAATGTAGTAATGACTATAGCAATGACCCTTGTAACACATGTCTGTAGCTGTATACAATAAAGCAAGCTTGAGAAACATATATCTTTATTCCCATTTGCTCTCCCCTTCATGATTACAATGTCCTTTGTTGTCCATTCTAAATATTTCAGAACTCAGAAGCGTATCGTGACACTATTTCTTGGCCCTTTACTCCTTGCCGCCGTAAATAATGTTCCCTCTCCAACATGAGAGGCCGCTAGTACAGTCAGAATTAATTTAGACAGATATATATATATAAAAAAAATTTATATACAATTTTAATGGTTGATTTACTTATATTTAAGTATTTAAAATTTATTAATCACATAATGTGTTAGATACAAATAGAATTCATAATTAAGATTAAAAATTTAATAGAGATTATATTTTCAATTCTTTTCTTACAATTACTTTTATAGTTGTTGGATCAAAATTGTTCTTATTTAATATTATTTTTTAACTGTTGATTTAATTTTGATTTAAAAATTATAAAAGAGGTTATAAAAGATTGTAAAGGAAAAGAGGTTGTAAATATAATCTCTTCTTAAGAATATAACTTATACTTAGATAAAATATCCTATTGCATATACATAGATTCATCTTTATTCTTCATTAACCTTTTGGAATGAATTGACTTTTTTATATGATATTAGAGTTTCGGTGTCATGAGTTCAAATTTTACTATTTCTCATTTAATTAATAATTAATTAAGTCTTGTAAAGTTTCTTAGCACAAGTATGTGAGTTTGTGCATTATTTACTCTTCAAGTCTAATGGGCTCTCATGTGAGGAAACGTGTTAAAGTTATATAAAATCATTAATGTAGCTTCACCCAACAACTTAAGTTTTTGGGTTGAATTGATTCTTTACATTATTAAATATATATAAAACCTAGAGGTGGTAATATGGGTTGAGCCCGGCTAGGGGTGGCAAAACAGGTTCCCCCCGACCCGCGGCCAACCCGCCAAAAGGGGGTTGGCTCGCCCCGCCTCTTGAATTTGGGTTGAAATTCCCAACTCGTCCCGTTTTATGGTGGGTTGGCGGGTCAACCTGCTTAAGAAATAAAAAATAAAAAGTAAATTATATTTTATTAATATTACAATATTACTTATTTTCGTATCACATTTCCCTTAGTTTTTTTTCAATCTTAAGTCTAAATGTATGCTAATATTTAGTCAGATATTCTTTACAAACTTGTTTTTATCTACATACATAAATTACCTTTGTCATAAATAAAGTTTTTCTTCTATATTTTTTCTAGAGAGCACTAAGATAACAACAAATTGAATATCACAAAAGCTTAAAAATAAATAAAACACTACCTAATAGTAAAAAAAAAAAAAAATTGACCCAGCGGGCCAACCCGCCGCCAACCCGTTTTGACCCACAACCCAACGGGGCGGGTTGAGGCGGGTTGGTGGGTTGAAATATGTAACCCAACCCGCTCCCTTTTGGCGGATTGACCCGTCGGGTTCAACCCATATTGCCACCTCTAAGCCCGGTGGGTCAACCTGCTAACCAGCCAAAACGAGGCGGGTTGGGTTGAAGTTTTCAACCCGCACTGCCTAAAAGTGGGTCAAAACGAGTTCAACACGCTGGGTTAAAATTATAATTTTTTTTTTTTTACAATTAAGTAGTATTTCATTTGTCATTAAGTTTTTGTGATATCCAATTTTTTTTTTATCTTAGTAGTCCCTAGAAAAATAAAGAATAAAATTTTTATTTATGACAAATGTTATCTATATATAGAGTCAAATAAGTTCCTAAAGAATGTTTAACTGAATGTTAGTATATATTTAAGACTAAGACTAGAAAAAATTAAAAGAAGTGTGAAATAAAATAAGATAATATTAGAAAATTCATAAAATATAATTTATTTTTAAATTTTGATTAATTTTTCTTAATTAGCGAGTTGGTGGGTCGACCCGCCAGTCCACCATAAAATGGGATGTGTTCATTTTTTCAACCCATATTTAATGGCGGGTCAACCCGTCCCGTCCCATTTTTGGCTGGTCGGGGCGGGGCAACCCATATTGTCACCCCTAATAAAACCATTAATGTGGTCTCACTTATGAGGTTAAGTTTTTTGGGTTAAATTATTTCTTTATATAGTATCAGAGTCTTGTCTAGTGTGAGGGGACATGTTAGATAAATATAAAATTATTAATGTAATTTCATCCAACAACTTAAGTTTTTGAGTTGAAATAGTTTTTCTGGTACTACCCATCTCTCAAGAAGAACTTAGAATATTTGGAAAGTTAGACGACAATAGTCATCATAGTAATTATTTTTAAATAACGTGAGAAGCCTTGTATAAATTAATTTAAACTCTTTCTACAAAATAAAAAATATATTATTTTTTAATTTATCTGAATCTATATATATATATAGAGAAAAATATTTCTCAAGTTACTTGAGATATATTTATCTCTGGCTAGCCCAAAACTTCGTTGTTTGTTGATTTATTTCCTTATATTAATTGATTCACCTTTGAATAGTTATGATTTTTTTTTTCTCTCTCTTCCTTTATCACCATTGATCCCTTTTTATATGGTTATGATTTAGTGGCCGGGGATAAAGTTATCTCAAACAGCTTGAGAAACGATAAGCCCATATATATATATATATATATATATGAGAGTCTTATAGTATTCTTGTTTGGATATTCTTGATTGTTTGCTCTGTGATTGTTGTGATATCGTATGTTATACTGTTCATATGTTGTACTGTTCATATGTTTATCATTGCATGTACATTGAGCGAGCCATTAGGTGGAGTGGCCCTCCAGGACCTGTGCTTTACTGATATTGTCAAATCTCACCTCACGTTATGGGGCATTATTTCATGTACCACTAGTGCTGTTGGAGAAGCAGTGGCCAAGAAGCCTACTTAGTGTGGAAACGAGCATATAGAGTACTTTTTTTTTGTAATAAAGAGGGGCAAAAGCCCCAAACAAAACAAAAATTACAGGACGACGTGAGAACTTAAAAGATCTACAGAAGCATCCTGAAGAAGGAGCTCTAACAAAGGAGAAGGAGGAGAATGATAAACAATAAGATTATTATCATTCTCAAAATGCCTAGAAGCAAACCAGTGAGCACATCTGTTATTTTCTCGAAAGGTGTGGACCCAACGAACATCCCAATCTTCAGCAAGCCATTTGTGAATACGGGAAACAACCTGAGAGTTTCTGTGATTGTTGCTCCCTTCTTGGATAGTGCTAAGAGCAATTTCTGAGTCACATTCCAACTCCACTCTCCTAGCACCAGTACCCCAGGCCAGCTCTAAACCTTTGAGGATACCCCAGAGTTCTGCATCAAGAGGATTACAGAAACCTAATCTGAAAGAGAAACCACCCAGAAAAGCACCATTGTGATCTCTAGCAAGGCCTCCATAGCTAGCATGCTGCCTAGATAGGGAAGAAGCACCATCTGTGTTAATCTTCAACCGACCAGGTTTAGGACGACATCATTTAGTAGGCTGATGGGCATTAGGGAAGCTGCCAAGAATGCTTCTATTCTTACCTCTAGCTTCAATTAAATGCGCAATAAAATCAGAAATGACACGCTTATCATTGCTTGGCCTTCGAAAACTATCATCATGAATATGATGATTACGCCAATTCCAAAGATTCCAGCAAGTAGTAATCTCTGAGCATATGGAGTACTTTGACATGTATATGGAGTGCCTGAGGATTACTTGACATTTTGAGATATTATTTTGATGCACTTTGTAATTGTTTATTTTGTATCATTGACTTAATGCATGAACATTGATCTTATATGAGATTTTCTGGACATGCTTATAGTTGTTCATGCTTTTGTGTCTAAGTCATTTGATATTATGTTGATTATGTAATAGTTAAATTTGATAGTTGATGCTATAAAAAAAAATTGATAGTTAATGTAATGTAATTGTATTATTGGAGAACCTTGTATATATAATGTAAGTATTGATGTATGTCAAGGAAGAGCCTAAAGCCTATTGTAGTTATTAATGATGTTTAATTATAATGAATGATAATGGGATATTGTGTATGAAAAAGTAATATAAGGAATTAATGTATATCATAATTGATGATAACATTACCGGTCGAGAATGGGGTGTTACATTGTGCGCACCTCTGAAGCACGGATACGACTTTTTTTAGGAAAAAATATGTGTTCGTCACGTGTCGGATACCAACACGAGGTTAACATTTTGGGACACGTTAACTATTTCGACACACGAATTTGATAATGTCCAACATAGGCAAATAATATTTTCGTAATTTTTTTTTTATAATTTTTAAAAATTAAAATATATTAATAAAATTGTAATTTAAAAAAAAATTAAAAAAATAAAAGAATTAGAAGACTTGAAGCATTTTAATAAGATCAGATATTGGTGGGTTAAGGGCTCATCGGGTTCGATGATGAACACGATCAAAGAATGGGTCTAGGGTTTTTTCTTCTTGGCCTTGGTGGCAGCGACGACGAGTGAAGAAAAGTCAACGAGTGACTTAGTATCACCGTTGTGGTTCTATTGAAGGAGCTCATCTTCGTGTTCCTCATATCATTAATTTGAATATTTCTAATTGTGTAGGGTTTTTTCTTCTTGGCCATGCTCTCGGTTTAGACCAAGTACAGTAGCCGGCATGTCCTTTTTGCTCTTATAACAATGCTTAGTGTATTTTGGCAGCAAAACAATGGACACATGCCCATTAAAAAGAAACTGCAAAACTTGATGAACGGTGCTGATTTACTATCATATCATTAATTTTTTTATGATAATTAACTATTAGATATATAATTCTTAAATAATTAATTTTATCAAAATACTTTATAATTAAATCTTGATGGTAGAAACAATAAAGAATCTTTTAAAAAAAACTAATAAATTTATATTATTTTTATAATTTTAATATTTTTGAAAATTCATAAGATTTTTTTATCTCAATTTGAATATTTGATTAATTATATAATTTATTAATGGCTGCTATATATATATATATATATATTAAATATAAGCTATATTATATATATATATTACAAATATTATTTAATATCAAAATGTGTCATAATGTATTGAGTTGGCGTGTCGTGTCCTATGTCGATATCGGTGCAACATAGGTGCGCACGCGTGGGTATGCATGTTATGTGTGTATAAAAATAAACAAGTATCGTTTGAAGAAAATAGAGAAAAAAAATTAACGAGTTCATTCTATATCTATTTCTTTAAAAAGAAAATCTATTAACATTTATTTATTTATATTTTTATTCATTTAATGAGAAAAAGATAATTATAATTTTATACTTAATTATTATTAGTTTTACGTCAATGAATTGATACATCATTAAAAATATATTTTGTTGACAATTTTTGTGATGTGATTATAATGATCCTTAACGTTATATAGGAGGTATATTGATGACATCACAAACAAATTAGTACAGTATAAGTATATAATAAACAAAATTTATTATATATTATTATTATTATTATTTTACATGCGATAAAATTATAACGGTGATCGAGAGGTTGTGGGATCTTCCCTGACTGAGATAGTGGTGTCTAACCTCTCTTAAACTTTTGTTTATCAAAAAAATAAATTCTGTAACTTAATTCAATAAATAATAAATGAGATTAATATTTGTTATTTATGTGTATGTTATCTCCTCTTACATTACTAGAAATACTTATCCCGTAATTAATATTTAGAATTATGTCAAAACGATTATACTGTTTAAAACTTTAAACAATTAAAAAAAATTCCAATTTATTTTATACGACGGACCTAAATATTTAAGGCTAAAACCCAAAGCTGGGAAGGTGGATGTTTGAGTTGACGGTGTGAGAGTGAGTGAGTGATAGGTAGAGGGTTTGGAGAAGAGAGAACTGAGTGTGATTCGATGGAGAATAATGGGAAGGGCGGCGAAGATGAATCCCAAAAGAATAACAATAAAAAGCGAAAGCAAGTTTTCCCATACGGCAACTACAAGAGTTACTATGGCTATCGAGTATTCTTCTTCTCTTTCCTTTTCTAACCTTTACCCTTTCTTTCACTCTAAAGCTTTAATCTTTTACAGCCCCAACATCATCACCACGCTTCTCCCCTTTTTTCTCTTTTTTTTTTTTTGAATTAATTTTTTTTTTTGGTAATATAATTGAGGGAAAAAAAAAAAAAACTAGTATTGATAAAGCATTTAAGAAATTTGGGTATAGTTCTGCATTACATGCATGAGTGCTTTTATTGATATTTTGTCAATTTGATATTGTTTTACAGATTGGTCAAGGCATGGATGAAGATCCTCGGTTGAAAGTGTTGAGGAAGGAATGGTTTGAAGGCAAGGAGTGTCTTGATATTGGCTGCAACAATGGGATAATCACCATCCAGATTGGTAATTTCCTCTCTCTCTCTTTTTCTTTAATGAATTCATTGATCAAATAATGCTCTCCATTTTCCAACTTCAAAGGATCATTCTTTACTTATTAAACTATCTTTCAAATGGGTATAGCTTTGACTATTACTACAAATGTAATAAATTAAGTTTGATGCTCATTCCTGTTAAACCCCCCCTGCCTACAGAAAAGTGTTCATTTTATGTGGACAATTTTATTTCTAATTGTAATTTCTATCATTCTGATCAAATGTTGCCTTTTTTTATTTTCCCTCACAGCACAGAAGTTTTGCTGCCGGAGCATTCTTGGAATTGACATTGATAACGGTAAGATTTTTGTCAATTCTAATTTCTATTGCCGTAGGGTATTCTTTAATTCTAAAATTGAGCTTTGTTCGGTATATGTTCCTATTTGATTTGGCCTAAATGTATGCATAATGTAACTTAGTTCTGATGTGTATGCTCAAAATTAAACGTTAGATTTACAAATTGAATCTTTAGAATGCTTAACTGTATCACGTTACTTAGGTTAACTTAAGCTATTAATGAAACCTCCTTGTATTTCTACATATGCAGCCTGTTAATATGCATTATACTTCTTTAGCAAGTAATATTTGAGATTAAAAAAATCAGCATAGAAAGAAACACTCAATTAAAAAATAAAGTTGCTGCTGTTTATCTTGTATTTAAGATGTGATCTTATGATATATCAGGACCAAAAAAAGAGGGGGGGGGGGGGGGGGGGGGGGTGAAGTGGCTTTGAATTTTGTTTCTGGAGTCCTGTTGGATACTTATTGTACTGAACTTCAGTGAAGTAGTTTACAGTTACTTAAATATCGTTCGTTATTTAGCTGCACATAATAGAGATCAATAACTGTTTAATCCTTATTGATTTTATTTTTCTGAGCAATATGCTAGATCGAGTTCAGGATGCATATTGGAATCTGAAAAAAACTGTTAGAATGAAATCTGCTGGGAATAAACCTGCCAAAGCCTCCAAACTTAAGGACAAGGACCATGCAGACAATTCCGAGAATAGTGTTACTGTTTTGTCAAATGTCAATACAGAAGATAGTTCAAAGGAACCTTCTTTAGAGCAAATTGATCTGTTTGATATAGTTTCATTTAAACGAGAAAATTTCGTTCAGAGTCGGCACCCACCGGGAAAGCACTATGATACAATTATCTGGTCAGTCAGCCGTTGCTGTTCTCTTTTTTCTTTTTCTTTTCTGTTTCACTAAATAAAACATTTTCTCTGGGGATAAAACTTTTGAGGGGAGTGAGCAGAAGTTTGTCATCCCTTATGCCTTGTAGGATAAAAGTCCTGTTCAAAATTATTTGTCTTTGATTTTTTTGTCCTTTCTGTCCCTTTTCTTGGGTTGACTTCTACAGGATAGTTGCTACCTAATGGAGTATCTTCATATTGTAGTTTTTATATTTTTAATAACCAGATTTTATTGAATGTGTATATGTAGGCATGAGTGCTCTTGCAAGCATTTGATTCATTTTCAATTATTAAGTTTCAGACAGGAAGAAATTCATAAGTGTGGCTTGACTGAACCCATCTGCTATAAAATAAATTTTATTGGAGTAGGTTTATTTTAAATTGTCTTCAATGTGCTTGTTGTCTGAAAATAAATTATCTTCTGCTATGCAGTTTAAGTGTTTCAAAATGGATACATCTAAATTGGGGGGATGATGGCTTACTTACATTATTTGCAGAGACTTGGAAACTGCTCCGACCAGTAAGTTTCATCTCCTTTCATCATCCTATTGTTTTTCTTTCTAATTTTGAAGGTTTAACTACCTAATATAAAAGTGTTATTGGAAAAAGTAAAAGACTTGATAATATATGGGGACCTCTCTAGTAAGAGAAGTGGTTTATGGTTAGATAAGCATCAGATTCATAGCTGCAAATGAGCTCTTCTAAAGAATCTACACCAATCCCCTTCATTTCTTTTTATCTGGGTAATCATGCGTGTTTTCTTCTTCACTCTTTCTCAAGGTCCCATCTCTCCAGTCTCCACTCCATTCCAATGCCTTTTTTCTGTCCTCTCTGTTCCAGCTTGGATTCGTTATCTGAACTTGACTGATTTAATAGTGTACATGACTCTGCAAAACTACCCACATACTTTCCTACCTTTCTCTAAATATATTCTGTTGTATATGTAAAAAACGCAACCTTTCTTCTGAGCAGGGTGGCATTCTTGTGTTGGAACCTCAGCCATGGAAGTCATATGAAAGCAATCGCAATGCCTCAGAGGTAATAATTAGCTTTCCTTCTTTTCAGTGATTATCAATTTTATATTTCGGGGGTACTGGGAAGTGGAAACCTTTACATAATATGGCAAGCTTACCAAGTTTACTCTATAGAGTCATCTTGGACCTTTTCATTTTGTAAATTTTCTGCATGGTTTGGAATCATTTCCTGAAATGTTAATATATGTTGTTTAGGAATTTGCTTGTGAACAAAGAAAATATTAGTTTCAAGAGATGGATGTTGTTTTGTGTTTTTTTGTTGTGTAATTCTATTTTATGTCAGTGGAACAACTAATGCATTATCAATTTGCTAATATTTTAGTTGTGCTTTAAATTTCTTTATACCTAGCTAGGTATCACTTACCAAAAATAAGAAAGGGACTGTTGAATCATTTTTTTTTCCCATTATGCAGACTACTGCTGCCAACTACCGAAATATTATGATTCGTCCAGAACAGTTTCAGGAAATACTGCTAGATAAGGTTTGTATTAAATGTTTCTTTGGAATACTACTGCATTCCATATTTAAGGTTTGTATCCTGTTTGCTTTGCCTATTTATTACAATTTTATCCAGATTCTGATGTCTGATATTTAACTTGTTCTAGATTGGATTTAGAACAGTAAAAGATATCACTTCAGGTTTGACAGGTAGCAAGACCGGTTTCAATAGACCAATTTTGGTTTTTCAGAAATGACCCATGCAGAAAGTCAGGTGCAAAGTCAATGTGATTTAATGTGGAGTCATTCTTTCCCATAGAGAAGTTTCTCTTTTATATTTTGAGATTGGGATTGGTTACTTATAAACAGAAAGCTTGGGCGTGATGCAGCTACTATTCACAATGATAACTTCATGTGCATAGTGCGTCCTTTGTGTTTAAAAGCAGCAATTAAGCAAATTTGGAGTTGACAGAGGCTTGATTGTAGAGAATGAAAATCATATTATGTCTTTTGTGTATTTTGCTAATAGAATGTCAATTTGATCTCACAAAAATCAACAAAGATGAAGTAATGAATTTGTTTTGCTTGTGTGTTATAACTTACATATACCACCAGCACATAAGATTCTTTAATTGTTTTTTTTTTCTTCTTATTTATCTGAAGAGAAATGTAATTTATACTCTTTTGACATGCAATGTGACTAATAGTCTAATTCAGTGAGGAGTTGACTTGTTTTCTGGTCAGGAAAGAATTAGGCCTCTTTTGGTGATTTGGTGGTTAGCGGAAATTGTTTTACCTTACTGCTTGGATTGGAGAGGAGATATATTTAAGGATGGAGGAGAGATGTTTATGCTAGGATAGAAATTAGAAAGGGAAGATTTGGTATCCATTCATGACCTTGCCTAGGTAGATGTGTGAGGAGTTTATAGCCTGGTCTAACTTTATTCTAAATTGACATGAAAAATAATACAGATTTAAATTTATTAAAAAACTTCTTTAGAAATCAGATTACATGCATATTTTAAAGGGAAAAATATTTTTGCTTTAGTACAATTTTTTTTTGGTCACACTTACATAAAAGTGAATAAGTCTCATTGTAAAGAGAAGAGAGAGAGAAAAAATAGTGGGATCTATTTACTTTTATGTAAGTGTAATAGAAAAAATATTTTTGCAGTAAAAACAGAAATGTTAAATCCTATTTTAAAAGGTTCGCCTTGTAAGTATCGGGACTTGATCTTTATTTTTATACAAATGATTAAATTATTTTAAGAGTTTAGTGTAGGAGATAAACACATAAAAATATGTGAGGTTCATGTGAGTCTATTTGAAAAGAAGAAAAAAAAAGAAAAAATATGAATTCCACATATTTTTATATATGTGTAGAAAATAAATTTATTTTTTATAATATGAAAAATATTAAACCTTTATTTTAATATATAATTATAATTTTTTTAAAATATACTAAATATTAGTTTAAATTAATTCATTAAAATATAATAAATATGAATTTAAATAATTTCATAAAATGCACTATAATATAAATTTAAATTTTAAATATAATAGTGTCAATTGTATAATATGTTTTTAATGTAAAAGTGAAATAATGTATATGTATGTGTGTATGTACGCACACGGTGCACTTATAAATTTTTAATTTACTTTAAATTAAATTAAAGTTTTATTATATAATAAAAAAATAATGCAGTTCAATTAATTTTTAATTGTTTACTTAATTTTTTTTGTTTTTGATTAAATTAGTAAAATTTTAAATATCCTTATAACACGGGCTTAAATTTTTTTATTTTTTTCTAAATTTTTTAATCTGTAAATTATTTAAACAATTTGGTTTATAAAATCATCTTATCAATAACCTGTAATTTACATAATGAAATATATTATTTTTGAAGGTTTAACATAATAGATCTGACCAAATCTTATTTTTTAAAAATAAATTAGGTCAAGTCTATAATTTAGTTTGTATCAAATTAGGGAGAAGTTATATTTATAACTTCTTACAACCAATTTTATGGTTATCAAAATCAATTCAATGTTTATAAAATTTCATTAAACGAGAGCCTTTGATTTAATTTTGATCTAACAATTATAAAAACAATTGTAAAAGATTGTAAATAACCCCTATCAAATTAATAAAACAAGTCAAACTTAAAATATTTTACATATACTTAATTTATTTAGGCTAATAAAAAAACCCCTTGCCTCCTCCTTATTTTCTAAAGTCCATTATTATTTTAATTTGGTCCAAAAGCCTTGTGAAAGTAAATATCATCTTTATAAATAATATACCTACAAAAACTTATAAACACTGTTACATTGTTGCAAAGCGTCTTAGAAAGAAAAAGAAAACGTGAGTATGTCTTTAACAAAATATGAATTAAAAAAATAACAGTTAATTTATATATATCAACAGTTAAGATCTTTTCCTATGATAATGTTAAATCAGGTATGAGATGATTTATTCTCATCTATTTTACCTTTAAAAATAACATGAATGTGTCTTTTAAAGGAGAGAGGGGTGCTCATTGATGGAATTAATAGCAAAGGAGAACCACAGAAGTCAAATATAGTAAAACAGCAGTGTGGCCATGGTAACCCCTAAAAAGACGTTACTCAAATTTTTAAAAGCTATGTCCAATTGAATTATGGTCATAATTACCTAATTACTTTTACTTTTTACGTTTTCTTCATTTGACCTGACTTGATAACGGTTGTCATTATGGCACTTAAATTAAAGGAGGAGTGCACTGATTCCTCCTCATATATCAACACCTTTGTGTTTGCTCTTTCAAAATGTTCCTCCTCATTCCTCACTCAGCATCAACAATGGATGCCAGAGAAGATGATTCAAAGGTACAGCAGCAGCTGCAGACCTTTGATGCCATGGAATTCAATGTGCTAAAGAATGCAAGGGCTAACAGAGGTAATTCTTATTCCTTTGTATCAAGTGAAGCCTCATCTGACTATTCTGATGTCCCTCCTCCGGAACATTCTTTTGAGAAGCGTGGCGACGAATTTGAGGTAGATGGTGATGAATTTGATGAAGAAGAGTGTTTGGATGAGTTGCTGCATGGTGGAAAAACAAAGAAGAAAATTGAGCAGCTGGCTGCAATGGTTGGTATTGACACTACGGAACCAGCTATTGTGCTGACTGAAGTAGTGAGAGTTCTCAAACACTTAAAAGAGAATAAACCAGTCCTGCACTACTACTCAAGTGCTTAAAAGAATTTAGTTCTTCGTTGCAATGTGGCCTAGCTCTTTATTTCTATTTTTATTTTTATTTTAAGGAATAATGCTTTTCTTCTTGTTGATATGTATGTGGCTTCCAACTTCCTTCCATATAATATCTTTTGAGAATGTCTCTTTTGATTATTTTTAATTCCTTTAGTTTCTTCCCAATTTACTTAACATAAAAATTCATTCTTTACTAGCAATGATAGAAAGGAAATAGCTTCTTGTTGGTGGAAAAAACGTTGCCATATGGTTGGGACTTGGGAGTTCAGAAAATGAAAAGGAGAAGAATGTGATTTTCATTAACAATAAAAAATTAAAAAATTAGTGCGATAATTACATACATACCTTTCTCGGTTAGTTAAAGTTTACCAGTCAACTTTTTAACTAAATTACATACAACAAATTTGTACAAATTATAAAAAATAAAACAGTCAACCCAAATAATAATAATAATAATAATAATAATAATAAAGTGGCTAATTCTCTTTATGCGGCTTTTACTTAAAATCACCATGTTTAATTATTCAATTTGTCAGGGCTCGGAATTTTCTCCCAATGCTGACGCCAGTCCGTTATCTGAGGAGAACTGTCATTTCAAATAATTTATTTTTATACTTAGTTATTCAATAAGAAATATAGGAAGGAGATAAGAGAAAAAGGACGACATATTTGAATCCTTTTCTAAGGTTGGTGTTGTCTGTCTATTTTTTGTTTCATGAAAAATACTACATGGCCCGGATAGTTTTATCCCGGGAATTTACCCGATTCTTATAATATGGTGAGTCCCATCCTGGATGGACTCACTTGTTTTTTTTAACTTCCCCAACTCTTGTAGACAGCTATCGTCTGTAATTGACTTTTTCTCAATACTGAGTTGTTCTGCAATTCCAATCTTCAAAGTCCAAACACTAACGATTTTAAGTGATTTCACCTGATTTTATCCAAACAAAAATATTTCAAAATATGTTTCACACGGGAAAATTCCTCGATGCATGTCATACCATGCGGTGTTTTATGTCATCCATTGTTGAGGTAATCCTACTTAAATTCAAGCATTATCTAAATGATGCAGGGTTACTACAAAAACAAGCTATCGTAGAAAGTAGAAACTTCCCAAAAACATATCGTTGATGTCAACAAAACTTACACTTATAAAAAGATTATGATGATTTCTCGTAAGTCCTCCTGTCCACGTCAATGACATGGTGCATAACACATTCTTGTCGGCTATGAATTGACTTTAACAAATTCCATAATGACAACACATCTCAACTCCGAATTATAATTCTTAAAGACCATTGATAATGGTATAAATGGAGTCTTTAAATGTGTATAGTGGCGCTTCAGAAACTTCAGCATACACGGCAAAAACCATATTAAGGGATCTTTAACCATACGTTTCAACATGCATTCATGTAATTCAGATATTAAATTACATTGGTACCGTTTGAGTACCATTTAGCTCCGTGTATACGTTGACGAACTTGTTCTGCATATTGCTACCAGCATGCCAATAATATTCGAGCAAAGCACTATTGATCGAATTCTGGAAGTGCACCTCATTGATGCTGCGTTTCAAGCACAATTTCCACTCACTCACCTAAGGAGGCATTTGGTACATCAGCATTTCTACATGGATGGATATGTTAAAAAAAGTAGGATTTCGGACATGTTTGTAACACCAACCTCGGGAATGCAAAATGCCGTGGACTAATCTTCACAATCCCTGCAATCTCTTCTTTACTTCAACATAATTTTATTTGTCATTTGTATCAAAACATACAGATCTTGAATTTGGAGTATCTGGTACTGGGGTATCTACTCTAGCAGCGTGAAAAAGCTAGCGTACATATGAAATACGAAATCCCTCCAGAGAGTCTGCATGTTCTCAGTTTCCTTGCACCAAATCAATGCACTCTATCTGACATGGTTGGTCTGCAGCTACAAAATAGTGCAAAACATGGAATACAAAATAGTCAAAAATGAAATAAGGAATTAGCCAGAACTAGAACAAATGGGGGGCAGAGGTAATCTTGCTTACTAAAAATTAGCTGCCTTCGGATGCTTAGTCTCTTTGTCTAGTTTGCTTTGAGAGACCCATCCAGACCAGCACCAAACACAATGACAGTAGATCATGTCCATTGACTTAAAAATAATTTTATAAACCTTGAAGAAACGATGGATAGAATTATTAAACAAAGATATATTCTTCAAAAGACCTTTACCAGCCAACATTCTTATCAAAAGCAATTCTCATTTCAAGCTTGTTACCAAACCCAAGTAGTCCTAAAGCAATATGGAAATCCAAACTGTAAACCTTTCCTCTTCAACAAAATTAATAGAGACAGAAAATCCAAGCTTTTCAAACTTCGACTTTTTTTACAAGTGTAAGATCATGAAATAACCTGCCTCACATATACAAGACATAGGATTGAGGGACTTTAAAATTGATGTTGTCAAACAGACAATTCATTATTTTGGCCCCACAATCGAAGGTGTCAGATAGATAACCTATATCAGCACAAAAAGCTTTGCAAACTATCCAGGTTGGTGACACTTTTCACGCTCTAATCACCAAGTAAAAACAAATCAACTCATGTCTCATTTGTCGGCTGTTGCTGCAATCCAACAAATGATTACATATTTGGGCCAGCAAGAGGGAGGATTCAAGGTTCTTAAATTGAAGCACCACAACGAGGCAGCTTCCTTGAGTTCTTGACTCTTATTGAAGTAAATGCCTACTTTCACATCATTATTGAATTCACATCGACTCATAAGCTCAGTGATACTGCTATCAATATTTCCTTAATGCTTTCTCACCCAGTGTGTGGTTATGCAGAATTATCATCAGAAATAGCAGCTTCATGAAGTATGTTCATGTAGATAGTGGCATCCATATAAATGGCAATTTTCTGCCATTTTTTATTTGTCAGACAATATTGGTTGGAAAGAGAACTCCTGCAAAAGTAAAAGTAAGAACTGATAATTGAGCATCCCACTTGCAGAGTCAGCTTTACCAGTTACCACAAGAACATGAAAAATATACAGCAGTTTATCCAAAAGCTTGAACTACACTGAATAAAACTAGATTGTATACTTTCATCCCTAGAAGGACAGTACAAATTAACCTGTGCAAGTGTCAAATTTGTGCTACCTACAAGTAAAGAAGTGCTTCTTTAGCATCACACTTGTATAAAAGGAATTTAGGAAGACATAAAAATATATTATATTGATTAAATCAAAGGCAATCTGAAGCAGGAAATCTCTGATCTTTCCAACTAGTGTTAATTATATAAAATTACAAATTTTGACAATGGCAGGATATTTATTTATTTATTCTGATTTCTGAGTAACAACTTTAACAGTTAAACCAAAATGAAAAGTTCCAAATGATGAGATACACATCTTGAGAATCAAGTGACCCCATCCCCTACCCTAACATGTAATCATGTAAGTGTAAAATAGATGCCACCAAGAACTACCTTTGATAACTCATAAGAAACCCTTATTTCAGTGATCTTTCAGCCATAATATTTGCCTTTTTATCAGTATAATTTTTACTTTTCATAACATGGTCAATAACAAGAGAATGCAGCTTACCATAATGAAAGGAAAATGATGAGATTCACAAGGAAATAAGTCAAAATGAAAACAATAGATAAATATGAAACTCTTTCAATTTACATCTTTCCCATTCTAAGAAATTTAATTTATGGATGCTTCGTAACATTATATATGGGCAATAAAAGAGTAGGTGTAACTGTTTCATATTTACACAGCAATCGTAACCAGGTAAAAATAATTGAGAAGCAAAAGAGAATTGAAAATACATTTGCAATTCATAATATTGTCAGTCAATTCAAAGTTTTAAACCAAACGGTGTTGCCACTTATTGTATGGCACAATGATAATTCTCATCAAGTAACATAACAGGGAAACGGACCTACTTCACACATTAATGTTACATGAAAACATGAATACACAAGATTGCTGTGTGCCACATTTGACATTTATGTACAGCACAGGAGCCAAGCCTGGGTAGTCTGTATTTTATACCACACAATCATTTGTAGTCACCTCAGGAAAGAAGCAACACTAAATGGCCTCAAAATAGGAGCTATGCAATCTGTCAACCTTCCAGCACAATTGGAATCTCCATGAATAGATCGCTTGAATATTCTTGACCAAACAGTTAGGGAAAAGATGCAAGCAAACCACCATGCATTGCAGCTTCACATATGATTCCAGGGATTCTTCTAAGAATTCACGGCTGCAAATACAGAAAAATACAAATGGTCAAGGATAAGTGTTACATAATAAAACTCAAGGCAGCACAAGAAAGAAGACAGCAGTATGAACCAGAAAATTACCATATTTGACATTTATTTAGCAGAAGATATGCGCTGCAGAGATGACATCCAGCTACTTGAATGACCAATTTTACTGGTTTGGCCAGGTCCAGGATTAGAAGCTTCAGCAGACAAGGCAGGCTTCAAGGAGTTCCTTTTAGAAGTACCAGCAGGAGAATATGAAGTAGAGGGTATATTTGCTTCTCCAAAAATCTACAGAAAAAATAAGTAAACAATGCAAGCTAAACACTGATCTATTCAATTTTAGACATAATAGTGTGCAACCCCAGAACTTTGACTTCACTTTTGCTTCACAGCCACAGCAAGAAAAATGAAATTTTTTAAGTAAGATGACTTACATTTTTATCAAGAGGATTTTCAGAACTTAAATTTTTTCCCACTGGTGATTTAAACTGAATTTTAACACCAGAACCAGTAGCATTTCCTGATCTAACGTGCTCTTTGACATGCCCTGAATAAGCATTATGTTCTGCCAATCAGAAAATAATAAATAAGACATTTGTTGAAGTATAAAACAAAATGCTACTTCATCCTTGTTCCTAGACATACTAAATCAAAATAAAGTTAACAACAATTCACATAAAAGGACTCAACCAACTTTGCTGGTCGTCAACATAAAATATTGATGTCCCCTTTACCATGAATTTATTTTGCATCCAACACAAGTTTATTTCTTGATAGGAAACACCTATAAATTACATGACTTATTTAAGATGCACCAACCTTGATGGTTGTCAACATCCATTGGAATTGCACGATTGTTACTTGCTCCAGGAACTGGCTGTGATATGAAAAACTTAAGATTGTAAGGAGCATGGGAAGATTAAATTAGCAAAATCATCAGTAGCCCCTGCTCCCAGCTCCCCAAATATATATATAATATGGCCCAAAAATCAAATATACTTACAGATAAGGGGGGCTGCACTACATTCTTTTGTGCTTGCTGGTACTTTAAAATGGTCCAATCAAAAACATAATCAAATTCATAACCTGAAATATATCAAGCAAGTCAAAATAGATGGAGAAAAAATTACACTTGGGTGAAGAGATGAAAAAAAAAATATTGCAAAATTTACCAAAATAGAACACGAGTTTTCGTAAAGAAGAGTGTGTACATCAATAAAACCAAGGCCCTTTTGACATGCTAGATTACTTTTTGGTTAAAACATTCAGTCTAGTCTAGTGAACAACAGAAAACATGCATGTGTATAGAACATAATTATAAAGATTGCAGAATTATGTCACGTCATATCCTATCTTGCAATATTAGGAAAGAGTATAATTCTGTATAAGCTTTGAATCTTCTAAATAATCTGTGTAACACACAGTAAGTTATTTCCTTGTATTTTTATTTAAAGAAAAAATATTACCTTCCCTTTGATCTCCTAGTAAGAAATCTTGTTGAATCCCAACTTTTAATTGTAATAATAATGTCCATGCCCAAAGATACTTTTCCAGAACAAACAATATCAACACAATTGTGCAATTTATTTATTTTATAATACTCAAAAAATGAAAAGAATAATCACCTTCTCGAGCAAATAGGTCTCGAAATAGGCGCTTCAAGAATCCATAATCAGGTCGCTGATCAAATGTCAAAGAGTGGCAGTAATGGAAGTATGAAGCAAACTCTACAGGATGAGATTTGCATAGTACCTATGGAAAATAACAAAAAAATAAGTACATCATTATTTAAGAAGGGGAAGGGGGAACCTGCACAACAGAGATAAATGCCCAAACACTTACCTCAATAGGAGTTGATAATTTCTTCTGACATATTTTATCATACTTTTGTTTCTTTGTTGCAGCCTTCAGACCTTGCCAAGGAAGGCTAAACACAAATATTTAGTCATTTAAAAGTTAAGACATTTTATTATATCATCACAACAGATATTGGATTATGGAGAAAATACTTGTAGAAGAAAAGCAGATAGAGAAGAATGCCATACCTTCCTCTGAGGAAGTACAAAAGTACGTATCCTAGTGATTCCAAATCATCCCGTCGGCTTTGCTCTACGAAAAAAATATAATAAATGAAATAGAGTTGAAATTCATTTGGGCTGAAGGGGTTAATATCTTTTTCTGACTTACCAATCCCAAGATGAGTATTGCAGCTTGCATAACGTGCAGTCCCTGTTAAGTTTTTGTTCTCCCTGTGTGTTACAATTGTTAGTATTATTCTGGGTATTTTCAAGGGATCAGAAGGAAGAAGAGACAGAGAAAGGAAAGGAACCAAACCTTCCAAACAAAAATATTAGAAAATATTCATGAAAACTGATTAAGAAATTGGTTGGAATATGAAAATAATTCATAATCAGATGTGCGAAAATTACAAAGATATAAAAGTCGAAATCAAAATAAAATTAAAGGAATGAACTAAACAAATGGAATCCTATAGAAGTACCTGTAAGGGATGTGGCGGTTGGTTGTAGAGTCCCGATATCGTTTGGCAAGCCCAAAATCTATTATATAAACCTGTCAAGAACATAAGAATTATACATGCATGGAACCATAACAAATACCAAAAAATAGTTGAAGGAAGAGCAAGTCCAATGTACGATAAATAAAGGGGAAGAGCAATAACAAGATAGTTACCTGGTTGGCTTTCCGACCAAGTCCCATGAGAAAGTTATCAGGTTTTATATCCCTATGTAAAAATCCTTTAGAATGCACATATTCTATTCTAGTGATCTGCCCACCGAAAAAAGAGAGTTAATATCAAATATAAAGTTAGTATCAAAACACATACGAAGGTTTAATATGGTGACTCTCATGACAGATTTCCTAATCCTAAGTGGAAGTAAACTGCAGAACTAAAAGAGAAAAGTGAAGAATGCTTGAATGAAAGGGTCGGTAAGGGAATGCGTCCTGTTCAGCTCAACAAAGAGAAAATCCATAAAATAAATAAATTTGCAGGCAACATGATATTTAGACACATCAAAGCACCGATCTTTCATCAGTACACTTATGATACAGGCATCTTCTTTAGTAATTATACGTGTAAGCACCGGTACAAACATCTCCCCCCGCCCCCCCCCAAAAAAAAAAAGAAAAAAGAAAAATGCTAGCTTACCATTTGATCAGCCAACATTAACACTGTCTTCAATGAAAACTTTCTTCCACAATACACAAAAAGATCCTCAAGGCTTGGCCCCAGCAAATCAAGAACAAGCACATTATCCTCCCCGTCCACACCAGACCATTTTATGTTCGGAATACCACCTGTATCGCAAGCATTAAAAAAATGGGAAATAATACTCTTATGCTACATAAGAGTATATCATTTTCCTACACTAATTCGTTTTCCGTGTCAATTAATTTTTTTTTTCTTTTTTAATATAAAATATGGGACCCACATTTAACTTCTCTCTACTTTTTTTATCTACTACAATCCTACAACATAAGAAAACTTAAACCCTAAAAAAAATATGCAAAATTAAAAAATCTTAAAACTCACCACCCTCCTGACACCCTTCACCTCCCTATAACAATTAACCAAAAGAACATAAAAGTTTAACATTGCAAAATGCATACTTCCTCCTTGAAGAATATTGTAGAGCTTTGCCTCATAAAGCAGTTGCGGATGCTTTGTTTTACTGTTCTCCTGCAACACCCAAAACAGAGAGAGAGAGAGAGAGAGAGAGAGAGAGAGAGTGAGTATCGTAAGAATTTAAAGTTCAATCTCGGTGGATTAAGAACCTAATTGGCAGCCAGACCAATCCAAACAACACATACTAATCACACACGAAGATTGGCACATGCAACTTCAATCAGACAATCACAGAGTGTTCACAAAGGAGGGCACAGAATCAGAGACAAATAGGAAAACCCCTAACAAAAGAGCAACAAGCGGACACTTACGATCTTGACGGCGACGATCTCGAAGGTATCAATATGCGTAGCTGCGGCAGCAAGGGAAATTGAGGAAGATTGATCAGAACAGAGAAGCCTATGATTAACTATTGTTGTGAAATCAATAGCAGAGAGAGAGAGAGAGAGAATGCTCACCGAGGTAGATTTCACCGAAGGATCCGCTTCCGATCTTGCGGCCTAGTTTGTACTTGCCGCCTAAGATGCGTTCCATGTTTCGAAGGTTCCCGAACCAGGTGGGACTATGATTAAGGAATCCACCGCAGCATCAAAAAACAGAGAGAGAGAGAGAGAGAGAGAGAGAGAGAGAAGTATTTGCTGGCTCAACCAGAGAAGAGAAACCAAAGCCACACACAATCAAGAAAAAGAGAGCCAAGGGCCATATAGACAAAATGCACCTAGGAGGCGGGGATATTTTTGTCCTTCGATAGAGTTGTTCATTTGTTCGTATGTTCACGAGGAGAGGACTGTGTGGGTCTAGGCTTTTCTTTCACTCCTGTTGACTTCTATGTATCTTATATGTGGTGCGAATAAATGTTTCGCACTAAAAATATTCAGTGTATCCTATTAATAAAAATATTATATGTCAGTTAAATTTTTTTTTTTGTCAAATATTTTTTCTCTCTCCTATGATATATAATGCTTTTATTGATTGAATGCACTGAATTTTGATGTAGTAGTAGCACCAAATATTTATTCTACGTGCTGCTATGTCGGCTAATTCTTACATTACATTGGAAGTTGTTTGGTACGACAGTTTTTTCAGGATTCTTAAAAAATTAAATTTTTTTAAATTTTAAATTTTCAGATATTATTATAAATTTAATATAAAAATAATATTTTAAAAAATTGAGATTTCCGAACAAATTTTTTTTTTTCCTTTACCAAATGCCAACTGTTACTTGTACCTCACCTCATCAATGCTTCAGTTTTTTTTTTCCCTCTCTTTTTTAATTTAAGATTGGATTAGTTGGTATTGGTATGGTAGAAACTGGAAAGAAAATTTCCGGATAAGCATCATGTATTTTATTATTTATATTAGATCTGAAGATTTTGAATTTACAAATTTAGCATTTTAATTAAAAAGGAAAAGATTTCGAATTTACAAGTTTAGTATTTTAATTAAAAAGAATCCATCAATTAATGGAATATCTTTATTGTTCGGTATATATATATATATATTTGCAATGAATCCGATGTTTCCATTTTTTATTTTGTAAAAGAAGTTCCTAACAGGCTCTTATTAGTAGGGAATAGGGGCTAGAGATGTTAATACAACACGGTCCATATTTTTTTTCTTGCAATTTTTTGGCGTCAAAGAATATAAGGTTTATTGTTATCAAATAAAGACAAAGAATAGAAGGTTTATTTAAGCATGTCAATCCGAGGAGACAAAATTTTGTGATTAGGATGACAAGATCTAATTGTAGACATAGCATGCGAACATTTTCAAAGAGCATATCTTCCTTAAAGCTTCTGATTAAATTTTTAATGAGACAGAATATCGTGACATGTATGGCAAGCAAAAAACATGCAAGTTGTTAAAAATAAAAATAAAAAATAAAAAATGAATACTTTGTATGAATTTTTTTGTTTCTGGACCTCACAAAGGCAGAACTTGATCATACAATTATGCGATTTTCAGTGAAGGGCCCGGGTAGCTTAACTGGGCCCAAGTAGTGCAGCCCATCAGCAATGGGCGCTGCATCTACATCTGCATCTGCAACGTCAGCTATTCTTTACTTTGCTCGTGAAAGCTGAAGCTGAGACTGAAGATGGAGAAGATGATCGCAGTGGGTTTGGTATGGGGCGCCACAAACGCTATCATGCGCCGGGGTGCGCTTCTCTGGGATGAAGCTTTGAAATCCTCTCCAAAGCCACATCCCAATTCAAGTCTTCACCAAAAAATCCTCTTCTCCATCCGCAACTGGCTCAAGCTTCTCTCCATTTGGCAATATTCCATCCCTTTTCTCATCAACCTCTCCGCTTCCGCCACTTTCTTCACTATTCTCTCCGATGCTCCACTCTCCGTCGCCGTCCCCGTCACCAATGCCACGACCTTTGCTGCCACCGCCGTCTTTGGCACCCTCCTCGGCGAACATACCCACCTCCCTCGCGCTTTCTTGGGTACCGCTCTTATAGTCGTCGGTGTTTGCTTTTGTATTAACTCCTAGTTTTTCTACGATCTTTATATAATTATTTTTTTCTTTTGACTTGATTGTGTACTTTTGTTACGAGATTCGAATTCGGTTATATGCCTAGGGTTCATGTTTGCAAATTACTAACAGTTGACTCTGTTACTTGGGCACCATCACTCTGCCTTGGAATATATATTGGAACTAGCTCTGTGTTCATTTCACTAAAGGTTATTATTTCATATATAAGATAATTCACCGTGAGAATCAGCATTATTCAGTACTTGGTGAGCAAGAAGGAAATCACCAAGACCGTGACCAATAGCAAATAAATTGCATAAAAAGCAAACAGAGAAAAAAAAAAAAAAACTTCAGGTAATGATGCCTTGCCATCCTTATGTTTAGATTTGTGTTTTCAAACATTCTGGAGGTATCTGTCCGTTGAATCTTTTGGTATCTGTGCAGTAGTCATAGGTCATGTAATTCTTTCTGACCCAAGTCAACTGGCCCTTCTTGGGATAACTCAGCTGCTTGTATATTGGAGAAGTCCACCAATTTACAGGGACATTGGAGGCACAGTGATTAATGCTGATTGCTCCTCTCCACTTGCAAGCCCTTGCTCTAAAATGACGAAATCTGGCCTTGAATGGTGCACCGCTCCAGTTTGTCTTAACAAGCCCGCCTCTAGTTGCCCAGTCATCTGCATTCCATAGGCTGGTATAAACCCTCATTCCTTGCTTGTTTGGATAAGCAATGCCCTGATTTTCATAGTTCCGGAAAACCCGAATTGGCTGACTGTCAACATACCACCTGAGATACCATTGATAGTCAATTCCATTAGAATTTATCATACAATTAATACCTACCAGTGATCATACAATTAGATAGTTCTTTGTTATGGAGTTGAGAAAATAAGTGACTTCGAATTTATCAGCTTACACAATTTCTGTGGGATTCCAGTGAATGGTGTAATTATGAAAATTAGCCGTTGGGTCAAACCAGAGGTAAAATTGTTGCTCTCTGCTTCCTTTTCCTTGTGTGTATATGTTTGTATTGACAGTGTATGGTTGTCCTGTACTGTTGCCTAAGAACTCAAAATCAATCTCATCGTGCTGGCCTCCTGTTGAGGATAACTGCACGGATTTTGTGTTAGAAACATTAGCACTTCATTTACTAATAGAAGTCTGATAGATTTGGTTGTTCTAAAATACATCTAGATATTTGTCTTTTTCTTTTATTGGGGAAAAAGAGAGAGAGAATATGTTGGTGTTGATGAGAGCTTTTAGATCCAGTGAACTTACATAGTAGGCTGTAACTGTTCCTGCAGAATTACCAGGTACCAGCTTGATTAACATTTCTATACTTCCAAATAAGAATAATCTCTTTGATTGAGCAGCTGAGCCTGAAATCCAAATCCCAAAGGCAACACCACATTTTTACACTTCATGATAACAGATGAATGCATTTTTTATTTATCATTTAACTGCAGTTCGCATAATGTTTAGCGAGATTACAAATCTTATCTAAACTGCTATATGAACATATTAGAATGATGCTCTAGTATTTAGACTTGAATGTTGTTGGATTAGGCCATAATATCATTCTTTTCCACTAATATTAAAAAAAGGCAATCTGGTGCTATAAAGCTTCCCCTCTGCCCAGGGTCCAAGGAAGGGTCCTTCCTTAGTAGGGAGTTTTATCTTACCTTGCATTTTGCAAGAGGCTGGTTACGTAACATTTTTCACTAATATTCAATTGCAGTTTACGAGCACTTTAATGTAAAATTTCTCTCTTGCCAAAAGACACGAGTCTATAGAAATCTTAATTGATACGTGTTAAGCATAAATGTTTCACCTGAGGCTTGATCCAACACAAGATGAAGGTCTTCACCCAGAATTGATGCATGTTGAACACCCCAGGTGAGGTACATGCTCTTGGAAAAGTCGGCATCCACTTGGATGATGTTGGATAAGACTGCACAGATTAACAAAGCTACCAATATTTTTTCAAATTTGGCCATGTTAACTCCTTTGAACAACTTTTGTCTATGTTTTCCTTTCTTCAAGTTGAAAACTTGGACGGATTATAACTTGTTGGTATTGTCTTTATATTAGTTACAATGAGCAATATGGTATTCTAAAGATGAACTCTGCGTAATTATTATATGAGCAATATGGTCTGAGCGTATTGCCCTGTTCATGAGATTTGTCATTCTGAAATTATTTTTTTCAAACGGAGAGCCTAAGGAATTTATGTCTGGTTTCATAAATAAGTTGGCTCCTGATGGCTGAGAGGGTACAAGTGTTTGAAATCTGGTTTGGCTTTGTCTTGTCTTATTTTTTTAAATAATGTCCGAGTTAGCACAGGCTTGCCTATATGATTTAAAATGTTTCAGAATAAAATGTTACCCTAAGCTGATGTCATAAATCAGGACTCAAAATAATTTGAAATACAGATGGTGTTTTGATGCGTACGCGGTAGGATTCATGGGAAGTTGGCGTGGTGCAATATAATATGAAATACAGATGGTATTTTGATATGTGCGCGGTGGGATTCATGGGAAGTTGGTGTAGTGTTGCTGGGAACCAAGCCTCAATGCATGAATGCACATCACTAGTAATGGACTATGCAGCTAAGAATGATGAGTTGTGTTGAGTAAGGATGTCTCTCTGGGACGTGCACGCCTGATTGAGGAAAATTAAAAATTTTAGGCATATCTTGAGCTCTCTCTAAGATTAAGAATGCTTTCTTTTACTTGGTCAATTTGAACTTGTAATTCAACAAGCAGATTGCACTGTACATAGAGTTTCAATGACAAGAAATATCTATTTAGACCGAGAAGAAATGATTAGTCATTTTCTCGGGGACAATATACTGATCAATGGCTTGAAAGGTTAGTCGTTTTGATTGTAGTGATAACAAAGAAATGATAGACCATGCATAATACAAGCGGATTAGTTGATAATCCATTGAATCGCAAGAGTGAGAGGTTGAATATAGATACTTTTATTGAAGTTCTACGTTGAATAAATATTTGATATTACTGTTGCATCGAAGATTCAGTGTATTCCATCAATGAGAGCATTACACATCAGAGAAGAGAAAAAAAATTTGACAAAAAAAAAAAATCGCTGACATGTAATATATATTTTTATTGGTGAGATGCACTGAATCTTCGATGCAACAATAGTACCAAAGACTTATTCGTCTTGAAGAGGGGTAAAAGAAAAAGGAAATATGAGAGGTGACATGATTAGGATCATGTTACATTACCAAAAAGATTGTAGCCAATTAACGAAAGACCTCGGTTGTTTACTCCTGGCAATGTTAACTCTCATATTAAAATTCACATTATGTGAAATTTTTGTGTCTATATTTCTTTTAATCAATGATAATAGTAGAATCCTTGCCTTAATAAACAAAAGTGAGAATGGTGTTAATTAACAAAAGAATTGCGGAAATCCACTGAAAACTGTTCTGTTCTATTAAACCGTATAATGATACCTCAAGGGTATGTGCTCAGAGATATCCTATGGATAGGTATCTTGGTTGGCTTATAGCCAATATCCACATCATTGCGCACAAGCAATAGGCTTATAGCCGAGACGTGGGTGTGTGCACAGTGTGGGCAGAAGTAGTAAATGAGTTCAGTGTATGTACCTGGGGTCTTTAACCTCTTATTTAAAAGGGTTACCTCTTGGGCTTGTGTAGATCTCCCAGTTGTAGTAGGATGTAACTTCCTTTCTGTTGGGATAGAGACTCTATCCTTAGCAGCCTTACTGTTTTATATTGTTAGGATAATTGGGTAGTTATCCTTTAAGGGATCCTTGGGTAGGTGGTTAGGATATGGAAATATTCCATAACAGTTGCCCCCCAGCTCGGCAGTTCGGAAGCTCGGACTGCTGGGGTGCCTAAGTTTGATTGATAGGTCGACTCTACCGAAGTACTATGATCCTGCCTTGGGTCTGGTGCGACTACCTCTTCTTGGTTTAGCTTTTTATATTGGCTTCTTTTCTCTTGAAGTCTTTGAGTGGTGAGGCAGTGTTTTCCTTTTTTTGACTTTGAGCTCGGCTTCTTATACCATAGCTTTCTTTAAATTGACTTGGCTTTTGCCTTGCCTACACTTTTAAAGGCAGTATATTTGCCTTTCTGATTTTAGCCCGGCTTAACGTACCGTGGCTTTTCTAGACTTTTTGCCATATTTTGTTTGAGTCCGGCTTCGCATACCGTCTTGATTTGTCTTTTATCTTAAATTGGGGTGTGATTTTTTTCTAAGATCACGATCTCTCCAAATTCATCTTCTCGGATTGGGGTGTGATCCTTTTTCGTAGAATCACATCTCTCCAATTCTATCTTTCTTCTTCTTCTTTTTTCGGATCGGGGTGTAATCCTTTGGCTAGGATCACAACTCTCCAATTCCGTCTTCATTTTTATCTAAGATTGGGGTGTGATACTTTTCTTAAGATCACATCTCTCCTTTTCTGTCTTCATTTTGATCTCGGAGCCTGAAGCTCTAGCTTAGGCTGAGTTGAAGCTCAAGGCTGAGGCCGAGCTTTAATCTTGAAGCCCTTCATTGGGCTGAATTGGAGCTCAAGGCTAAGGCCGAGCTTTTAAGCTTGAAGCCCTTCGTTGGGCTGAGCTCAAGGCCGAGGCCGAGCTAATAATTTTAAAGCCCTTTGTTGGGCTGAGTTGAAGCTCAAGGCTGAGGCCGAGCTTTTAAACTTGAAGCCCTTCGTTGGGCTGAGCTCAAGGCCGAGGCCGAGCTAATAATTTTGAAGCCCTTTGTTGGGCTGAGTTGAAGCTCAAGGCTGAGGCCGAGCTTTTAAACTTGAAGCCCTTCGTTGGGCTGAGCTCAAGGCCGAGGCCGAGCTAATAATTTTGAAGCCCTTTGTTGGGCTGAGTTGAAGCTCAAGGCTGAGGCTGAGCTTTTAAACTTGAAGCCCTTTGTTGGCCTTTTTTATTTGAACCCGGCTTTTTATGCCGTGGTCTTTTAATTTGTGCCCCGCTTTTTTCGCGGGGGCTTTTTAATCTAAACCCGGCTTTTTATGCCGTGGTCTTTTAATTTATAGCCCCGCTTCTTTCGCGGAGGCTTTTTTATCTGATCCCGGCTTTTTATGTCGTGGTCTTTTGATTTGAGCCCCGTTTCTTTCGCGGAGGCTTTTTAATCTAAACCCGGCTTTTTATGCCGTGGTCTTTTCATTTGAACCCTGCTTCTTTCGCAGAGGCTTTTTTATCTGATCCCGGCTTTTTACGCCGTGATCTTTTAATTTGAGCCCCGCTTCTTTCGCGGAGTGTAACACCCCATTCTAGAACCGGTTTGTTATCATTGCGTACGACATTAAGCGCAGTTACAATCACAAAATTGAATTAAATACGAATAAACTTTTTCCTTATTATTTGTAAACGTTTTTAATTGGAACCAACTCCGTGCTTAAAACAATTCTCACAATGTGATTATAACTTAAACTACATGTGGAATTCTTATTGTAAGTCTTACTTACGCCATACATTACTACCATAGTTTGCCAAGTGATCCCCTTAGACCACCAAGGCTTAAAGCTCACTTTTATTATTCTTAAATGCTAAACATACACACTCTTTATTCATCTGAGAATTTTACTATACTATTCTTATGGTCTCCATTTGTCCAATATATTATAGGATTTTCATTAGCTACGCGTGGGTTCAAACCGCGCTCAAATCGGAGCACCGTAGCCCCAGTTACGCATTTTCTAAGAAAATAGGTGCTGAATTTTCCAAGACACCCACGCCCATAGCGTGAATCTCACGCTCATAGCGTGGGTAGTCAAGGAGGTTGGCGCTTAGAGCGTGAATCTCACGCTCATAGCGTGGCTGTTCTGGAGCAAGCACCCAAAACAGGGCAATCTGACCTCCTATGGTATTCTACCCATAACTTGAGTTGTACTCATCCAAATTACCCAATCTTGGTCTCTATGGAAAGCTAAGAAAAAGATCTACAACTTCCATTAAGACACAAGGGTCCAAATATGTCATATAGGATACGAAAAATGGACAACAAGACAGGATGTCCTTACCTTTACTTGGATTTTCCAACCCAAGGTCCTCTTTCTCCTAATTGATATCATACAATCCTTCCAATACATGAATTCTAATCTTTCAAGGTACTCATACACTAAGAGAAGCAAACATACCATTTCATCATACATATATCCTCATTAATTACAACATCATCAGGTCTCAATTACATCATTGTTCTTACAAATTTCATATACATGCCCAAGGACTTAGCTACAAAAGGAACATGATCAAAGCTATAAGCCATTTATAACAAGGCATTCACTACTACAATGATCATGCACTAAGTCCCTCAAAATATATAATGTGACATCAAAATATACATATAGCAATTCTAAATGGCATGCAACTCAAAATATCCAGCTATCAGGTACAATCTACTCATGCTTCTTGCCTCGATCAATCTCACCTCTATCAGTACCTGAAATGATGCCCCACAACACGGGGTGAGATATACGAATATATCACAGTAAACCTGAGGTCCTTGGAGATCACTCCACCCTAAGGTTCACTTTCGATGTACACATAATCATAACAGTTCAACACATTCTTATCCATAACCATTATATGGACTTCCAAGAGAGATCCTCAAAGGGATGTTTCTCTTAGGCTCTTACCACATGGAGATCCACCTAGGGCTGTTTCCAAGGGAAGTCCTTTCCTCAATCTAGGAACCTCCAAGATGGATCCACATAGGGCTGTTTCTCTTAGGCTCTAACCACATGGAGATCCACATAGGGCTGTTTCCAAGGGAAGTTCCTATCAACCATTCTCATCATAATTCTATCAATCATTCCTCAATCCCTATTTCTACCTCTATCAACCATTCCTCAATCACTCTTAAACAATTAAACATCAATTAATCAATCATAACATTTATCAATGCATGAATCAATGCATGGGCATACGATTACTATCATAATTACATATCACATCTCATAAACCATTTCTCCTCAACGGAGT